ATGCGAAATGAGTTTTGTTGTACAAATTTATTTTATTTTAATTTACTTTAATTAACAAGAAAACTAAGCATTATTTAATCTGATATTAAAACTATATGAATGAACTTTATAGTGTGTTAGCAGTTCACGCAACGAAAGGTAACTTAATTAAGGTTCTAAGTTTTTATAAACTGATTTTCACTTTGTTATTGAACAACAGCAAAAAGTTTAGTGAATTGTTTTAAATACTTAGTTCGTTTTCTAGTAGTTCACATTAACAGTGACGATCTATTCTTATTTATTCTTAGTTAACTCGTGTCTGGGTGTGATGGGAAAAGCTCCTTTGGGCTAGGAGGATGCGCGCTGTGAAATACCTACTCTTATCGACGTCATAATGTATGGGCAAATTCGATAAAAAGGCGTGATAACCACTTATCGCGGCGCGCATCCTAAGCCTAGCCTTCATGTGTTCATATTTGTGATATTTTTATTTCCATCATCTGTGGTTGTACTTAAATTAATAGTTGTGTATGTTACGGTCAAGTAGACAAATTAAGTAGATAATGTAGCCGACCAAATGATAGGTAGGTACAAGGTAATAAATACCTACATTCAATTTAATAACAAGAAATACTGTACACTTTTATGCATTGATCAAGAGCAAACACAATGGGCTATCTGCATCATAGTATGCATAATGCTACGCATGTTATTGGCACTTTTAAAATAAGTAGATTTTTGTATTTTATTAGCTTTTACTAAGTAATGAATAGGTATGTAAAATCTAACAATTTTGTTGACAATTAACATAAAATTACCACTTGCAAATACTGACTTATGATTGTGTATATTTTACATAAAACAGTTTGTATCATTTGAGAATTATTTTGATTCATAACACAACGAGATAAAGTACAAAGTAAAAACAGCAATAATTTAACATCCACGTGTACCGCTTCACGAGAAGATTCTGTCGACATGAAAGATGTTAAACGCGACACGAAACACTCCACCGATTATACAATTACGCCCGATTACAACATACTTAGTTAATTATGAACAAAGCTAATTAATAAATGGTATTGTATTTCGATGTAATTTTCCTGTTATTGTACGTTTTACAAGCCCGTGAATGGAATACTAATGATGGAACTTGGCTGTTTCTAAATCTACAAACATTGTAAACAAATTGTAATCTGGCCAAGGGTTCAAAATCATCCATTGTCTCATCTCAAAAATATAAGGCATCCCGCAAATGTGAAGCCAAAATTTTCTGCTATGCCTGTTCTTTTTTCCGCTTCTGAATTCAGACTATATTATTAGTAGTAGGTACTAAGGCTGGAAGTAACTACCATTTATTTTTAATGATTGCTTTGCTCAAAAAAAGGAAAATTAAAATTTTTATGTGAAATTATTTCGAAACTTTAGATTTACAAGAATACTTACTTTGTATTAAATTGTATTCTTTTTAATTATTATTGATTTACTTTAAATACAAGTAAATAGATAAGTGAAATAGTAATATTTCGAACACAAACGAAAACTTTCCTTAGAGTTCAATTAGATTTATGAAAATCATTCCAGAAATAAAATAAACAATTTTATTTTTAATTATCGTTACATTATTTTATTTTACAGGGATGTCCTGCCTTCAATAGAGCCAGGATATTTGATAGATATCCTGCCTGAAAATGCGCCAGAGGAACCGGGAGACTGGAGAGACGTTATCAAAGATTTTAACCAAATTATTATGCCTGGGGTAAGTACATCAGCAATCTCTAACTACCTAGACATGAAAGTGAATTGACATAAGTACTTACATACTTTTAAGTTAGTTCGTACCTACCAACTTAGGTAATTGTTTAATTAAGTGTTTTATTTGAACATACTTATTATACTAGGTTTTCCATCACTCTGTTGAGCACAGTAGTAAGAACATCCTATTTCCTTTAAGCTGGTAACTACAGTTGTATCATGAACCTATTTTTTTTTTTTTCATTTTTTTAAAAAATATTGACAATAGTTGAACGCCTAACATCCTAAACATACGCTAACTTGGTAATATATGTAGGTAACTACTACGAGGTTTGCAACCAAATTCACTCAAAGAACTTGGCCTTACTTAGCCTAATAACAGAAGGATTACTGTTCCATACTAGATAGTTTCAACTACATTGCGCAGGAAAATAAAATAGCAATTTGCTCTTAAATTAACGTTGTTTTCTTCTTGCAGGTGACGCACTGGCACTCCCCCAGGTTCCACGCCTTCTACCCGACAGGCGCGTCGTATGCGAGCATGGTGGGGAACATTCTTTCAGATGGCCTCGGCGTCATTGGTTTCAGCTGGGTTAGTATTGATTGTTCACATAAAGATACGCTCGAATGCGGTTCCTCATTGGAAATGTGCCTAGTAAATAACAATAAAAATTGCGATATAAGCTGCTGATAAACGAAAACTAGAAGTAGGTAATTAAAAAACTTGTACTAAGGAAAATTCTTAAGAAAACTACTTTACCTACTTACATGCAAAAAGAGACTTCTTAGTTCTAGAGATGGCAGTTTTTACATTAAAATTATTCTAACCCACGGGAACTTACATTTTTGTTTTTCCGTAAAAATAATAACGGAATCAATGATTTCCATCACCTATCTTTTTCACTTTTTCTCGTTTTATTATGAGAAACTTCTCATATTTTCTTCCTAAGTAGGTAACTAGGCCTACCTATGTAACTATTATTTTTTTCCCTTTCTAGCTATCCAGTCCTGCTTGCACTGAGCTGGAGGTGGTTACAATGAACTGGCTTGGTAAAATGCTCGGTTTACCCGAAGAATTCTTGAACTGTTCGCCTGGACGAGGTGGTGGAATTATTCAGGTCAGTAATTTTATCACTGTAGTGTAAAATATAAACACTATTCTATAACACAGAATAATCAGTACTAGTGAAGCCTTAATTAGTTATTAATTTGAAGTCTATCTAGAGTACTCATTCGTATTAAAATGTTTTGCAGGGCTCTGCAAGTGAAGCGACCCTTGTTGGCTTACTGGTTGCTAAAGAAAAAACTGTGCGAAGGCTATTGAAGCAGAATCCTAGCCTCGATGAAGGTAGCATCAAAGCAAAGCTTATCGCCTACACATCAGATCAGTGCAATTCCTCGGTGGAGAAATCTGGTCTACTCGGATCCATGACAATGAGACTACTAAAATCGGATGCTGACGGAAGACTACGAGGAGACACATTGAAAAAAGCCTTTAAAGAGGACTTAGCTCAAGGTTTAATACCATGCTACGTTGTCGCAAATCTTGGTACTACAGGAACATGCGCTTTTGACCCCCTCTACGAGCTCGGACCAATTTGTAACGAATATGATGTCTGGCTGCATGTAGACGCCGCTTACGCCGGAGCAGCGTTTATTTGCCCTGAATACAGACACTTGATGAAAGGAGTCGAATTTGCAGATTCTTTTGATTTTAATCCCCACAAATGGTTACTCGTGAACTTCGACTGTTCGGCTATGTGGGTCAAAGACGGTCTTGAGTTGATAAAAACATTCGACGTACAGAGGATTTACCTGGATGATATTAAAACAGACACTAAAGTCCCCGATTACCGTCACTGGCAGATACCTCTGGGACGCAGGTTCAGAGCATTGAAGCTGTGGACAGTTATAAATATTTATGGAGCAGAGGGTCTAAGAAAACACATTCGTAATCAAATAGACTTAGCGCAGCATTTCGCAAAATTAGTCCGTAGTGATGACCGGTTTGTGATTGAACCTGAACCATCTATGGGCTTAGTATGCTTTAGGCTGAAAGATGGTGACAAAATAACAAAATCTTTATTAGAAAACTTGACTAAAAAGAAGAAAGTCTTTATGGTAGCAGGTGCTTTCAGAGGTAGATACATAATTCGATTTGTAGTATGTTCTCGGCTTACGAAAAGAGAAGATATCGACTTCAGTTGGAACAATGTCAAGTATGAGGCTGATCTGATCTGCAAGCCAGAAATTCATAATAAACCTAAAATTCCTGCATTAGAGCACATCGAGACGATTACCATCTCAGAGAAATCGAAATAGATGGTAGGTAGTTATTGTATGTAAGTCACATTTAAATTAAAATATGCATAGAAATAAATACGAACTTTAGTGATTCGTACTCGTATTTAATTTTAATGTCGACTTTTTACTAATTTCATTAATTACAGTAAGTTTTGAACGATTAATGAAACAAAATCTTACGAGTAAGTAGTTACCTAGACCCGTAACTTTGTTGCGAAAATGTAACAATTCTTTCACGCAAGGACTATTGTAATGAATTTTGATGCAACTATCCAGTAATATTATAGCTTAAACTTACATCGAAAGAACACGAGGCTACAAATCTAAATATATAAAAGGAGAAACTGACTGACTGACTGACAGATCAACGCACAGCCTAAACGGCTAAACGTAGGCACTTGAAATTTGGAAGGGACGTAGCTTAGGTACCGTAGAGGTGCACTAAGAAAGGAATTCCCGAAATTCCCACGGGAACGGGAATTAGCGGGAAAAACGGGATTCACGCGTACGAAGTCGCGGGCGGCCGCTAGTTCATGATAATTTTGATGAAATAGAGGCAAGATTTGTAAATTGTGATGCCTGCGGTAGTGCGGTAAATAGTTAAGTACTCGACTCGTAATTGTAAATTAATACTAGAACTACTTAATCCATGTTAAATCTACTACGTAAACTTATTATGTGTGAAGATTATGTTAATAATGTGGGTTAACTTCTAAATCGTGAACCAGTTGCCTAGATTTTAAATAGTTAAAGTTAATTATTTAGCTACAATGGTACCTACCTACCTATCTAATAATAAGATGATTGCTTTTAGAATAGGTTTAAATGATTGATAGGAAATTCTTGTGATAAAATACAAATGTGATTTAGCTACTTTTCCTTCCTTGTTATGACGTGTGCATTATAAAGTGAAGGATTTTGTAAATAAAATTATAAGGTTACAATTAAATAAATACAAATAGGAGAAAATAAATTGTTTTTTTTTTATTATTGTAAGTCATCATTCTTTATTTGAATTAAGTAATTATAAAATAAATAATTCTAGAAGTTTCTACGCGCAGCTACATACGTTGTTGAAACAAAGGCCGTACGTGTATCCCTTGGGAATACAATGGCGCTGGCAGTCTTCATCGTCCATCGGGTCTTCGCTTGCATTGTGACATCTTACTCTACCAGGAATATCGGAAATCGCCTTTTCTGTGAACAATTTAAAACAATAACGTTTAGAAAAACATTTGAAAGACAATACGCTAGTTCCTAGTATCACTTCGTCATTTCTGACTAAGTATGACGTAGGTATTATACTTTCATGTGATTTCAGAGTTCTTTGTTCACCAACTACGTAATTCATTTGAAATTTAATGCTGTAAATAATTAATTAATTTTGTATTTAATCAATACTTTGACCTGTTACCTATGGACACGTTCCTTAAAATTCAACCTTGGTGGGTAGTAGTAAGTAATCTACCTACCATATTAAGTTTATTTTAAGTAAATACAACATCTTAAATCTCTCATTCGCTTTGAAAGTGATAGTAAGTGTGATAATCTCAAAAATCTCACCATTAACCTTTGCAGTCTCCAATGCTAGCGTATCTTGTATTTTTTTAATAACAGTATCATTGATTTCAACAATTTCGTCATGTTTGGCCAAATTGCTTTCTTTTGGTTTTGGAAAACTACTGGCAATGTGTACAAGACAAATCAGGAGTACGGGGAAGATCAAGCTAACTTTGAACTCCATTTTCTTACGAACACTTTAATTTAGCTAAACACACTGATTGCACGTTGGCTTACTACCGTAACTGTAGTCTGACTAAGTTTGTAATGAGTAACCGTATGCAGGTTTCGTAAAAATAATGACTCATTATTTTACATGAGCTGGACTGGACATCACAATGAGTATGCATCTACCTACTTTTAATTCAGTAGAATTTAAAATGCTCCAAAGGTCAACAGCGGCATGAAAATAGGTACGAATATATTTTAAACGGCGGCGGTAATACAGGTGTTTAACGTGTGAATTAAAAAGGGGGTGTTTCAGAGCCGAGTACCTATCTACTTAAAATTATGTGAACTGGACATCAGAACAAAAATAGGTAATTAATTAAAAAGAAAAATAAAAACCAAGATAAATCCTAGTTAAGCAAGCTGAGAAAGAAGAGAAAAAACATTAAAGAATCACCGTGAAAGTGCATGAGTCATGAATCATGATCTGAGATCATAGAATCCCGGGAGGTCGTGATGCTTTAAAATCTATTTTTTTTATAATCGTTACTTCCTATAATATGCACGATGAACGTTTCAGTGTATCGTACATCTTATTACTTCGGGGCACTACTGTGGCACTACACCCTATTTCGCTTTGATTCTCATTTCATATATTTTTTCAAAATAAAGGTTTTGCCATTGCTTGGCTTGTCTCCAAAAAAAGTAATTTCGCGAAATACTTAGCTGTATAGCATAACGCCTTTGCCTTTTACTGCAAAAGAGAAAAATCTAACCAGAAACAAAAAACATCGGCCTCTTGGCGGGAAAATGAAGCGTCATGTTCAGAAGTTTAGTTTTATTTTTGTTTAGCCAACTTTTCAATTTTTGTGTATGTGGATTAACCCACTTGTTACTAGCGTTCTTTTAAAAGGTGAGTGTGGCAAATAAAAAAAATGGTTTAATTTCCTAAGAAAACAGTGCAACGTAAGCTTTCAAATCCTCTCAATAAATCCTTAGTTCATTTTTAGTCAGTAAAGCATCATAACATCGCTGTCAGTTCAAAAGGATGTTGTTATAACCAGTAGGCTTTCAGGAGAAACAAAAAACCAAAACCTTCGCAAAAAACTGTGGGTCTAGACAAAGTGCAACTTACTTATAATCCCAAACCAGTCGATAAGTGGTCGAAAAGCCCCTTTTTTGTATGGAGTTTTGACGGATTCGATTTTCGATTCGATCAAAAAGTGCGTTTTGTCTAGGGGGGCAGTTTTTAATTTGGATTTGACTTTACGTCCTTTTGAACTGACAGTTCTTTATAGTCATTTAACCGTTTTTGTTTCACTTTCGCATTCAGAGAAATTGTTTATTTGAAGAGCGTAGTGTTTTGTTCTGTTTTTAGAGTTAAGTGATTCTTAAATAATGTCAAGAAAGTGCAAAAATGATCCTTACAAGTTTTTTTAATTTGTGGTGACATTACTTTCAAAACTCAGCGAAGGAATTTGACACCATTAGTAACTAAGTTACATAAACAGTTTTTTGGCTTTTCCATCGGACAACAAGACAAAGTGAGGATTCCATACATCTGTTGTGTTACATGTGTGGGTCTTTTCACTGGGTGAGCGAAAAGATCTCGATCTATGCCTTTTGCAATCCCTATGGTTTGGGCGGAACCAACGAATCACTCATCTGATTGTCATTTTTGTCTTACTGATACAAAAAAGGTATTACAAAGTAAAATTAAGTATCCTGACCTGCCTTCAGCCTTCAGCTAAAAGACCGATCCCTCATAGTGAAGATCTATCGGTAGTCCGCTACCAGAACCACCTCAAACTAGCGATCTGGCCGTTACGCCAAAAATCGAAAAGACACATTGGATCCTGACTTTGAGGGCATATTTGTTGGCCCTCAAATCAGGGAAATTGATAAAAGATGATATATTAATTTTAAAAAAGCTTAGTAATTTAGAAAAATCAGCTTGGGAATCTTTCATGAAAGTAACTTCCAATTTTCTAGGAAATCACCGATCAAGTGACCATAAATGTATTATTGCGGAGCTTTTATCTACTTATAAGGCTTTGGCCTGTAATATGTCATTGAAAATACATTTTCTTCATTCATATTTAGACTTCTTCCCTGAAAATTTGGGCGCCATCAGCGATGAACACGGTGAAAGATTCTATCAAGACTTCTACCATAGAAAATGATATCAAATATTCGCTTATTAATGTTAAGTTACCCACGTTTTCACTTGTTTTTGAAGGAAGAGGTGAAAACTAAAAATTAAAAACTTAAATCCTCGTAATTTTGCGACAAATGGGTCAAGCCCCAAATTTGAAGTATTTTCATCGATAAAATTGTCTATAGATTACGCCATTAAAGTTTGATCACTACAAGCCCGGACACACTGTATATTTTTTCAAAATAAAGGTTTTGCCATTGCTTGGCTTGTCTCCAAAAAAAGTAATGTTCGCGAAATACTTAGCTGTATGGCATAACGCCTTTGCCTTTTCCTGAAAAGGGAAAATATCTAACCAGAAACAAAAAACATCGGACTTCTTGGCGGGAAAATGAAGCGTCATGACGTGGTCATGACGTTCAGAAGTTTGTGGTTTGGTTTTATTTTTGTTTAGCCGACTTTTCAATTTTTGTGTAGGTGAATTAAAGTAAGTGAGGCAAATGAAACAAATTGGTTTAATTTCCTAAGAAATCAGTGCAACATAAGCTTTCAAATCCTCTCAAGAAATCCTTAGTTCAGTTTCAGTAAAGCACCATAATATTATAATAAATTATTCTTTAAATATCATTTAATTAGGTTAGTGTAGGGTAATCTAATTATAAACTAACACAAATAAAAACTGAAGATTTGCCTGTATAATATAATGCTTTTGCGTGTACCTGAAAAGGAAAAAATCAAACAAAAAAAAATTTTTGGTCAACTGTCAATCAAACAACTGTCATTGTCAAATTGTTGTCAATGTCATTTGCCAAAAAAAAAAGATTATTTCTCAATTTTCTCATCTGTGATCTGTTGTTCTCTGATTTTGATTGAATTATTTCATTTCAATAACCTACTTGTGTTTAATAAACACAAATTATTGTTTATTACTAGTTAAAGTATCGTTCAAAACCGACCATGGTTTACTTACACTTTCCTTCAAATTTAACAGAGGAAGAATTGATGCTACAAGCAAAATACCAGAAGCTGAAAAAGAAGAAAAAAGCTTTGCAGGCATTAAAAGCACCTAAACAAGAGCCTGAGAAGCCTGTGTTGCCGAAACGGCCTACAGAAGCTCGTGACGCACGTGAAATTGCAAGGAAACTGATCAAAAGTGGAGCCATTCAGGCTATAAAGAGTCCACCTCCACAACCTCAAAATGCAACATTCAAGCGCCCACGAGCCGGTTAGTTGGATATAAATTTATACAATCTTATGTTTTACAGTTATCTGTGCTGATTTCATAAGCGTTCAATGCAAGAAGTTATTAAATGTAAACATAACTTGTTGATTTAGCTTGACAGATTTTATTGTTAGTGTTTTTGTATTTCAGGACGAGAGCGCAAACTCAGTGGATCTGCTAGCGCAGCTGGTGGTGTAGCCTCTTATCAACCATTTAGTGCTTCTCAAGAACCCCCTCCTCCTGAAGAGAAAGCAGCCCCTCGAGTGAAATATTTGTACGATTCATTTGTGACAGCCAGAGAAAAGTAAGTTGCCTAATACCAGTTTTTTGCTTAGGTTGGTCATGGTGTGTATTTATATTATATTCTATAACGAGTCCTATCTTATGTTTCTTATACTTCTATACTAAACTATATCCCATAACACAATTTTTTTTTTTTAAGCCATCAGACAGAATAATATATTAATAAAGTTTTTTTTAATAAATTTTGCAGGGAAGAGCAGGCAAGTAAAACTCCTCGCAGCCATGGCAATAATAGTGACAGTCCTGCTCCTGCAGGGCTCAAAAACTGCACATTGCAAGTCACAGGGGCCCGGATTACTGAAGAAGTCATGAGGCGTCGCTTGGCTACATTTGAGCCATTCACATACACACAGGAAGGAGATGAAGAGAAGTATGCTACAATTATTCATTATTTCCTGTACTCTGTTGCTCAAAATTATAATACCTCAATCAAGTTCAATCCTTATGATAAGGGCAACAGTAAAGTTCAAAAAACATAAGTGAAATTGTCGTAACTGTCTTAGCTTGGTAACTCATAACAACCTGCTAGATTTCCCAGCTGGTGACTGTACATACAACAATAAATATTCCCTTTGTTTTATTGTTTCAGAGTTTTCTTAACATTTGAAACTATAGAGATAGCAGGGCATGCTCAAACAGCTTTAGAAGGGACTGAGGAAGGTTGGAGAGTAGTTCCAGCTCGCAGGCCGCCCCCTCAAACTGGAGGCTGGACCCCCGCTGCATCTCCCCGCAACCCACCACCACCCAAGGACATGAAGCGCACATTACTGACTTATGATGACATTTTTGATTGAATAAAATACTTCGAGTTTCTATTTCATTCATTTATTTCAGTCATACAACTAACTCCCCCATAGCAAATAAATAAATTGGGCTAGTTAGTATTTATTCTGTGCTTTAAATCAAGTTCATAATTTGATTTGACGCAAGGGGTTTGTCTCAGAATGCTTTTCCAAAATGCGCACTTATTACAAGCTTTTTTTAAAATATGTATACTTCATTACATAGTATGGGAAAGTGCGCATTTCGCGAAGTGCACGTTTCATGTGAGACCCTCGATACATTTTTGAGTGGCCGGTGACAATATTCTTCGTTCAAACACTTTAAATAAATCAACTCTCAGCTTTAATGTCCCATGTCCCAACCGGAAATAAGTAATGAAACTTTTTTAGGAGGACTGTCTCGCGCTTAAGCGCGTATAAAAATCGACAATGTACGGTTAAAAAAAAAAGACATCTGTCAGTGTCAGCTGTTAAATGTCACTGTCAGTCAGTCAACAAAACAAGATAGAAATTTTTGCCGAAAAATCTATAAAAAAAGCGTAAAATGTTTCGTATTACGAGAAAAATTATTCCTACTTTGAATAAAACATTGTTATCAAGATCTTCAGTGAAGGATAATGGGAAATTGGTTTTATTTCAAGTACAAAGACCATTTTCTGCTAAAGGTATATTACATCAATACTGGATCAATTATGTATTTGTTGTGCAACTTTTAACATGTTTCAAGGAGACTGGAACATGGTAGTCTTTTTGTCTGTTTACATTTTAATAACTACGATGGTTGTGGTTGTGTATATCGTATTACTTTACACCTACACATTAGAGGTTATCTCGTTTAATCTTACATTTTGCATTTACCAAAATAAATTTTGATAAATTGGTACCCTACACTTACTTAAAAGACCAATAATGTTACATAGTTATTTTATTTTATTTATACTATAATAAATATCATGGTATTTCAGGGGACGAGAAATTTTCAATAAAAACAGAGGATGTCGGCCGCCCATTGTACTTTGATGCTCAAGCTACAACGCCTATGGTAAATTTATTTTGTGACCTAATATGGGATAGGTTCCATATTATGGTATAATATTATATTGAGAAAACCATGCCAAAAATTAACCAGAATTTATGATTTTAGGATCCTAGAGTACTTGATGCTATGCTACCGTATCTTGTGAGCTATCATGGCAATCCACACTCTAGAACTCATGCTTACGGCTGGGAAAGTGAAGCTGCCGTGGAGAAAGCCAGAGAACAAGTCGCAGACTTAATTGGCGCTGATCCAAAAGAAATCATCTTCACGTCTGGTGCCACCGAATCCAATAATATTTCCGTTAAAGGAGTTGCCAGATTTTATGCTCCTAGGAAGAAGCATGTTGTAACCACACAAATTGTAAGTTGTATTCGTAATATTTTTATTATCAACTATGATGGACTTTTACACCAAACATTCTAAAAGGCTGTTGCTTTTTGTAAGTTTATGAAAGTTATTATCTTTCCTCATAATAAGATTGACATACATTTTCACAGGAGCACAAATGTGTATTAGATTCTTGCCGTGCTTTGGAAGGGGAAGGGTTCAAGATAACATACCTACCAGTGGGCACAAATGGAATAATTGATTTGAAAGAACTGGAAAGTTCTCTAACACCTGAAACTAGCCTCGTTTCCATCATGATGGTCAATAATGAAATTGGTAAGTAGTCAAAATCTTATTGTTATAGACTGTGGTCAGATAACTATTGATAGAATCTTATGTAGCAAAGAAATATGAATGGATACTTACATGTTTATTGCAAGAAAACTTAAAAACTGTTCTTTTCAGGTGTAAAACAGCCAGTTGAAGAAATAGGTGCCATTTGCAGAAGTAAGAAAGTATTCTTCCACACTGATGCAGCTCAAGCAATGGGCAAAATACCCATAAATGTGAACAAAATGAATATAGATTTGATGTCAATTTCTGGACACAAGATTTATGGTCCCAAAGGTGTGGGTGCACTGTACATTAGACGCAGACCTAGAGTGCGAGTAGAGCCAATTCAAAGTGGTGGAGGACAAGAAAGAGGCCTGAGGAGTGGTACAGTTCCAACCCCATTGGTTGTTGGATTAGGTAAGTTTGAGCATGTGTACCTATTTAAAAATACAATGAATTATTTTTTACTTGAATTGGAGCTCCCCAACAGGACACTCCTCATTCACCATTAATTTGTCACCAAGTATATTGCAGATGAGCACAAAAAACTTGGAATATAATCAACCTTTGTGTTTAATGTAATCTTTATTATTAGGTGCTGCTTGTGAGCTTGCTGGAAAAGAAATGGCATATGACCATGCATGGATGGAGAAGTTGTCTCAAAGGTTCTTGGATAAAATATACTCAAAGCTGACACATGTGATCAGGAATGGAGATCCTAATCATACTTATCCAGGGTGTATCAACTTATCATTTGCATATGTTGAGGGTAATGTATACTTTGTAAATAATCAATATTAAATAAGATGATGAAGAATATGTAAATTATCCAAAGCAATCACATTTCCTCATTGCATGTGGAAGTCATTGGGGAAGGCCTATGTTCAGCAGTGGACGTCCTATGGCTGAGATGATGATGATGAATCACATTATTTTAATATTTTTTTAGTCAGACACCTACTATTGGTAATATACCTATGTACTTATTTGTTAAAAAATAATTCTTGGTTTTAGGTGAATCACTATTGATGGCGTTGAAGGATATCGCACTTTCTAGTGGATCAGCATGCACATCTGCTTCCTTGGAGCCATCGTATGTGTTGAGGGCAATTGGCGCTGACGAAGACTTAGCACACAGTTCAATAAGGTATGTTTTGAAAATATACATGGTGGTGCGTCTTATACCTGCATTATTGAAGTTTTTTAGAGCGGCGAAGTTTTTTTGCAATATCCTATTAGTATCAACATCCATAACTAATTCCCAAATTCAAAAAATATATAATTTCTTTTTTTCAGATTTGGTCTTGGTAGATTTACCACAGTTGCAGAAGTCGATTATACAGCAGAAAAAACTATTAAGCATGTAGAAAGATTACGGGAAATGAGTCCTCTGTGGGAAATGGTACAGGAAGGCGTTGACATAAAAAATATTCAATGGTCTCAACACTAATAAATTTTCTCATAGATTTTATTAATCTGACGTAATTCCAATTATAGTTATAGGCAAAAATAATTTTTCCTATCTATCTCAGTGAAAATTTTATTTAAAATCTATTTTTTGAAAATTACTTATTACATTTTCTTTCGGTATTTAATTACTTGTGAATCTTAAAAAATATTTGTGATGTTTGGTTTTAAATAAAAATGTATTTTTAGAGTAGGTAGAGAGATGTGTCTCATAAAAATTGCACATGTCTATTTTTATGTATATCATGTAATTGTTAAGCTCTGATTGAAAGTGATATTATTTTGTTAAATAAACACTGTTTTGCGACAAATATCAATGTGTTATTTATTATCAGAAAACACAAAGCTAGCAACTACCACATCTTATGTCTAGGTTAAATAACAAACATGTATTAGTGTTTAGTCTTAAATATATAAAAAAAAGCCATTTAGCACCATAAAAATAAAAATCTACACAAAACAGTCATCCTTGTTACATTTTCTTTTTTTATTATTAGTAATTATTAGAAAACAAACACATCTTGGTCCATATGATAAAATAAATAACAAAATACAGAAATTGTATATATCTGGCCTAACAAAATTAAAGCTTTATTATGTATTACAAACAAAGTCATACAGGTCCACATTAATATAGGTACAACTTGTAATAGTGAAGACTACTAACTACTGATTGACACAAATTAATACTGAATGAATATAAAAACAATAAGATAACTTAAAGCCAAATGGTAAAAAGTTTCAGCAGGTGTTTGTTCGTAATAAATAATCAATTTTCTTAAGCTTTGTATCAATAGATATTAGTGGTGATATCAACAGCTGCATGATGGTTCCTCGGGTGGATCAGGGTTGGATATTTTGAAGCTGTTGTGATCCAAAGTCTGCAGTTCCATCCTTGACCTATTGGTCTCCACCAGTTGTAAAGCAATGTCTGAAAACATCTCTTCAACCCCTTTGCCAGTTTTGCAAGATGTCTTGTATGTAGTATTGATGAGATTATGGCATTGCTCACTGCAAAAGAGTAATAATAAATATGATTAAGTTACAGATTATTTAAAGTGAGGGGGATGTACAAAATGTTTTAATACTATCTTAGTTAAGGTTGATAATAAATTGTATTAAGATACAAACCAGAAAGATTCAATATCAGCATCAGTCACTTGCGGTGCAGAACCTTCTAAATCAGACTTGTTTCCACATAAAAATATTTTGGCATTCTCTGCATATGTCACGATGTCCAGCAAATGCTGGCTTAACACATGGAAGGATGAAGAATTATCCAAAGAAAAAACTAGGATAGCTGCCTCAGCAAACTTGTAATAGCTTGATGTAACTGAAGCGATTCGTTCCATGCCTCCGGTATCCCATAACTGTAACTAAAATAGAAAACAACATAAGTATAACATTTAACTAACTACATACAAGCTGTTTTGCTGAATTTGTTCAACATAAAACTGACCTTGACATCTTTGTCTCCCACTTGATATACTTTTTCAAAATGATCTAATCCCAATGTTGATCGTCTATCTGAGTTGGGTATAAATGTGTTATTGATAAAACGTCGAAACAAGGAACTTTTACCAACACCGTATTCACCACATAATATCACTTTGAGCACAGGCGTTTTAACTACGGCCATTGTTGATATTAATTCAATTACGTCTTGGTTAAACTCCAGTCCACTTNTCATACTCATGAATGAAAAACTCATAAAACTTTACTTTAATCAATTGCCGTATATTTTGATACGGTGATGAAAGTGCTGCCGTATACCGTATTTATGGTGCCTAGGATGCCTGAACGCCGTATATTACGGCAACTGCCGTATCAAGAACATCACTGTGAGGGAGAAGCACAATCTCATTAAGAGACAGAGTAGTCAGTAGGTTACGGATACGCACGGATACGATTAGTAACATCCCTAATACCTCTTCCGGCTGGGTAGTATTGTTAACTTGCTCGCACCTACTGAGATTATCTATTTACTATCTCTTTCTCCCTCTCCAAAGATACTGTAAATACTGTGCATTGCTATGTATATGAACAAAATTATGTTCACCGTACTTTTCAATTTGTTTATTAAATTAGTTTGCCAATGATTGATAGAATATTGCAACTCCGAAAATACAAAAATAAAAATACGCTAGGGTGAAAGGATATCGAAATTACAACTATAGTTCCAAAATACTGAACTGTCCTATGCATGACATTGACAGTGGGGCGCCACCGTCAATACCGGATCGCTGGTTCCGATTTTTGCTATGTTGGAAACCATATAGTTGAATGATGGTAGCGCCCCCATGTCATTAATAATAAATAATAAATAAATAAATCTTTGGACAATTTCACACAGCTCCAGCTAGCCCCAAAGTAAGCAACTTAATGCTTGTGTTATGGGTGCTAGCTTAACGGATATACTACTTATATACTTATTTTTTTAAATACATAAATATTATACATAGTCACCCCAGACCCGTCACAGAAATTAAAATTCATCATTTCAATTTCTGCCCGGCCGGGAATCGNCTCCACTTCATGGACAAGATACCTAGCATATCGTACGATAATTTACCTAGGTACTACTATGGTATTAAATCGAAAAAGCCCTATAATTTTATAATTTTATAGAACACTCAACACAACACAACTACGACAAGTACATAATGACAGAAGAAAGGGAGGAGGGACTGAGGGAGCAGTGTTGTTCCTGACAAATTTAGGGTTGCCGTATTCTAATTCTAAAATTGCCGGATATTTAAGGAAACCTTAGGAAAATTGCCGTATTGTACAAAATGTTTATTTGGAAAGTTTAAATTAAAAAAATGTTGATGTCTTATGTACTATACGTAAACTACTTTTAAACTTGCTTATTTCATTCTTCACTTTTAAAGGTTTTGAAAAGTTTAGTCATAGAACCTACCCGAATAAAAGTGAAGAATCTACCAAAATGAGGAACAAACGATTTTAGACATTAAAATCTCGGAGATAAGGTTGCATTTGGTTGAATTCTGTTGACGTTTCTTTTCGTGGCGCTTCTACTTCATCTATGGTTCTGGAAGTGACATAAGATTCCACGCGTAAGTGTTTATTTCGTGATTTCCGACATTGGATCATTGTAAACATTTTTCACATTTTTTACAGTAATTTCTTCCTAAAACGTTTTACCAGTAATTACACTTATCATTTTTAATGATACCTATGTCAAGAAATAAAGATTTTACATTGGTTTCATTGAATTTGAGCAATTTTATATTTTTTGTTTATTTAGAAAGAGCGAGTCTGCCCACAGAGAGCGAGATAGTGATACTTAGTTTGTGCTTCAAGTAGGTATTCGGAGTGTGGCCTCCATTTTTATCTGTAGCTTCATGTGGAAACCATATAGTTGAACGATGGTAGCGCCCCCCTGTCATTGAGTTTGGTGGGACAGTTCAGCTTGGGTCATCTATATAGATATAGGCAAAAATCTGAACCAGCGATCCGGTATTGACGGTGGCGCCCCACTGTCAATGTCATCGACAGGACAGTCCAGTATTTTGGAACTATATCCACACAACTGTCAGCTCAGCTTTTGCCACTTGTCTGCGGGGCTTTGTTGCGGAGGAGGATCTGTGAGAGGAAGTCTCTGTCGAGTTGTCGACTTCTTGGCGGGAATCTGAAGCGTCATGTTAGCTGTTTTGTTTTATTTCCTCAAATTCGTGTTTGGGCGACTATTAATGTGTATTAATGGTGGATTATTAACCATTAAGTGTTCGTGAACGTGCATGAGTGTGGGCAAGTGAAGCAGAGCAGTGCATCGTGATTCTTCTGGTTCTCTCAAGTTGTCCATAGGTCTCAGTAAAGCACCACAACTTTACTGAGACTCAAAGGGTGGGAAGGGGTATCATCTATCATCCTTCATTATATCATTACTTGATCTCATTTTGTAACTCGTATCACATAAATACTTGAAAATGGCACAAATCAAGTCGACCTCGACGTGTATTGCCAACATCATCAAAAAAGAAGAAGAAGTCTCTGTCTCATCTGTGGAGGACATTGACATTAGGTTTTTGGCAATTTGGTTGGCTTGTGTTTTGTGTACTTGTTGCGAGATTGATGTAAAAATAATGCCAGATTATCGTATTTATATTTTGAATTACTAGTTAATATGGACATGCAAACTTCACACTTGGCTGCGGCTTTGATGTCGGGTACGATCCACAGTGGGTCGACACAAGAAGCTGGTACAGTACAAAACCTCGAAGTAAAGGAATCTAATACGAAACCTGCAAAATCAAGTGATACTCAAAGTCAGAAAGAAGCTCCTGAAGAGGAAAAAGAAGAAATGGCTAGTGGCGAAGACTTTAGCGATGAGGTTTGTAGTTACACATACATATTGCACGACGGTACTACTGTATCACATACTTTGACTTGGCATAGTTCTTCTGTTAAAATAAATGGAAACATTACCATTTTGTATTCTAAATAATGGTGTGAAAGGTTTTATAACCCGTCAAGTAATAAAAATAATAGTACTTCAAACAGACACCAAAATAAAAGTTTAATAAGTCTGTGTTTCCATAAAGTACCTAACTAAATATTGTATGATTAACTAGCTTTAGCTGAAATTTAGTTTTTCACAGATCGTCCGCCATAAATTATAGCCTATATGTTATTCTGGGTTATAAAGAATAACTAAAGTTTCATCAAAATCTGTTCAGTAGTTTTTGCGTGAAAGAGTAACAAACATGTTAACATCCAGACATCCATACAAAGTTTCGCATTTATAATATTAATAAGAAGTAAGATAAATAAATAGTGAATGTGAACTTCAGAAGATTCTCCATACTCTTTTGGTCACCTATTTAATAATATAGCTGTTCATTTATCAGTACATTTGACAAGCCAATTTTGGCTTAGGATGTTTATTTGTATTATATTCGTCACCTTTCCCTAATTTCAGGAGTGTGAGACGCAGCCAGGCAGTAAGTCTATCCCTGGGAGGGGTGTCACTCTTCAGATGTTGTTAGAAGAAAAGATGTTAGAACCCGGCATAGCAGCAATGACTATTGAATACTTGGTAAATAATAAGCTTAGTTTCTTTTCTTATTAAATTAAAGCAAACAGCTTTTACTGACAGGGGTACTCAATATCTCGAATATTTGCACACACCTTAAGCTCAAATCAATATTATTATGATCTAAACTGTCTGGTATTGTAAACTCAATTACTTTAATATTTCAGGGCCAAAAATTTGTAGGGGACTTGCAACCAGATGGAAAGATTAAGTCACATGAAACTGAAACTATATTCTGTTCTCCATCTGCCTGGGCCATTCACTGTAAGAGGATTATCAATCCCGACAAGAGATCTGGCTGTGGGTGGGCCTCGGTCAAATATAAAGGCAAAAAGCTAGATACTATCAAAGCAACTTATTTGCGTAAGAAGCAGCTTCAAAGAGAGAATATGCACTCTGATGGTAAAACACAATTTCCTGATTGTATTGCTTTGCAAAATTGCTTTAAAGCTAGAAAATTATTGATCCACTTGTAAAGACATTTAAAAAGTGTTTCTGCCTGTAGACTAGTCAACACACTGGTGTTTCTAAGCTTAGAGCTTGTCCAGATGACGCATTATGAGCTGTCGCGCGATCGAGGTTCTTAGGTAAAACGCGCGACTGCATGTGGACAGAACATATGAATGAACTTTTAGGACCTCACTATCGCGCGAGTAACTAAAAACGCGTCATCTGGACAGGCTCATAGTTTGATTTTACTTAATTATTTTGATTCTTATTAATTTGTTTGTCTTTTTTGTTTCAGAGGAAACTGAAATGGAAGTAGAAAGCCCTCCAGAACCTCCACCACAACGGATTGTTATGAAACACAACACTGTGCCAAATAGAATGATGCAACAGTAAGAACAATACTTGTAACTTTAATTCTTATGTATTTGCTTTTAAGCAGTAGCGGCGTAAGGGGGGGGGCGGTCCGCCCCGGGTGCCAAGCATCAGGGAGTGACATAAAGATTAAAGACTTATGACTGGTGATCGCCCCGGGTGCCAACCAGGGTGGAAAAAAATCACATTTTTTTTTTTAAATTGTGGTTTTTTTTATTTATATTGATTTATTTGATTTTTATTACATTTTGCAATCATTACCTTAGTTTTTCATGCGGAAAACATGTATATTTAGGTACAACTGAGGTATAGTACTGGGAACAAGCCAAAAAAAGTAAATTGTGTAAGATGGTATGTCATATTTTTACTGAAACAAGAAAAAACTTTCGTCAAAAACAGCTCGTCTTGTGGTGTCCGTTTCCATTACAAAAACATGAATATCTTAATACAATTATCAATTTTATTTTATTTTTTCGCAAAAAGAAAATCTATGGAAAAATATTTTTTTAACAATTTTTCATACAAAACGGCTATTTCACACTTGAACACAACAATAAATCAACATTGTTTTCGAACATTATAGGGTTGATTAATATGCACTCCCAGTGTTGCATTAATTCCATTTTCGGATATTGATTTAAATCAGTGATTTTTATAAAAAAAATCATGCAATAAAAATCGTGATTTAAAGCATGATTTAAATCAACTTGATTTAAATCATGCAACCCTGGTGCCAACCCATGCTACGCCGCCACTGCTTTTAAGACTTCTTATTCTATACCATTATATTTTCAGTGATGCAAATATGCTGATAGAAGCTGTATCATTTTCTTCTGTGGGAAAGGTACAACCATTTTTGGTATCAGTGACTTCTAATGCTTGTTTGGTACTGGATATTCATTGTCATTTGAAGAAAGAAGAAGTTTATGGATACTTAGCTGGAACTTGGGATCTCAATAGTCACAGTAAGTAGACTTTTTAAGCTATATTTAAAAAATATAACAAACACAAGTGGAATTAATTATGTGTTATTTATATTTCAGATCTCTTGATAACACATACATTCCCCTGTCTAATTAATAAAAACGATACAAGACCTAGGGTTTTGGTCGAATTAGAGATTCAAATGGAGATCGAAAAATTGGGACTTACTCTACTGGGGTGGTATCATTCCCATCCTACAAATCCAGCTATGCCAAGTCTCAGAGATTGTGACAATCAGTTGGAATATCAAATCAGGATGAGGGGCCCTTCAGAAATATCATACATTCCTTGTATTGGTGTTATTTGCTGTAAGTATTGAAAATTTATTATTAAGTTGATAATTGTTAACTTAGTGGATATTGATTCAATACTTATTATTTCTATTTTCAGCTCCCTATAATCCAGAGAGTCCAGTTTTGGAGTCATCGTTAACCTTCTTTTGGGTTATGCCGCCGCCTGAGCAACGCCCGACGGAGTACCCTCGACCACTCCTACTGCAGTATAATATGATACACGACAGTCATCTGTCCACCCATGCCATGGAACAGATAAAGAAAAGCATTAAATATTACTTCAATTTCGCGGATGACAACTTTGTAAATTTCAAAGATAGCTTCAAACCTGATATCTCATACTTGGACAAATTAAAATGCACTTTAACTGCTAAGTTTCCTAGGGAGCAAAGTGATGGTTTGCTATGGCATTTCATTCGTGATGAGTTAGGATGTTCATCAGAGCAAGACGACAAAATGGATTTGGATGCACTTCTGGCTGTTCCTCAACCAATACCGGTGTCGAAGCCCA